CGGGGGGAGGGGGAAAAAAGAAAAAAAAAAAAAAAAAAAAAAACACCAACAACAACAACAGCAACAATAATCCGCATCGCGGAACTCCTCTTCACTCACGCACCCGGGGACAGTGAATGACCGTTCGGTTCAGCCCCTCACTCTGAGAATAATGAAATAATTCGAATCATCGCAATAAACATTAGACGAAGCGACAAATAAAACTAACACTATTGATAAGACGAATAAGATACATACGACTAATACTGACAGGAATAATACTTACAGGAAGAAGAGGAAGAGAGGAGGTCCAGATCTCTGGTCGTCCACGCTGCTTCAGAAGTCACTCGGGGGCCCCGGTGGTGACCACACCGTGCGGTGAGTCGGTGGAGGTTCGGGGTCTCCGCACGGTTTTGGGACTCGGGTAGTTCTCCGAGGGCGTTCCGGGCGACAGGGGCCTCCGGGGTCCCAAGACCGTGCGGTGACGGACCGTGCGGTGAGGTTTTGGGGAATTTCGAGGTCACCGCACGGTCTGTCACCGCACCGTTTCGGGACTCCAAGAAGCCACGACGTCGGAATTCTCCATGAAGGGTGGCAAAACATGGCCCTCCCAGTGGCCGACAAAAGGAGCCTCCGACACCCCGCGATCCCTCCCAGCAAAAACCTCAGGGAGGGGAGGGGAAGGGTTCCCCCCCCTCCGAAGGGAGGAAGGGGCTGCGGAAGAGGAAGGGGCCTCGGAAGAGGAAGGAGGTCGGAGGGCTGGTGGGAGTTCGCGCTGCCCACGCGGGGGGGAGGGAGCGCAGGACGGAGCTGTGGCCGCTGAGCCCCTCTGCCCCCCTCGGCCACGCGCCAGGGGAGGAGGCGAGAAGGGGCGGGCCTTCCTGATCGAGGATCAAAGGGCCCCTTAACTCCAGGCCTCCTAGATGGGTCCTCCTCCTCCTTTTCCTCCTCCTCCTCCTTCTCCTCCTCCCTCCTCCTCCTCCTCCTCCTCCTCCTCCTCCTCCTCCTCCCCTCCTCCTCCTCTCCTCCTCCTCCTCCTCCTCTCGTCCTCGTCCTTTTCCTCCTCCTCCTCCTCCTGCTCCTCCTCCTCCTCCTCCTCCTCCTCCTCCTCCACCTCCCCCGCCTCCTCCTCCTCCGAGAGGCCTCCTAGATGGGGTCGGAGTAGATGGGGTCGGAGGATCGCGCCGCATCGCCAATGCATCGACGATGCGGTTCGATGTGGAGCCCGATTTTCCCTACGCCGACGTCGCGGATGCGTCGCCAATGTCGACGTTGCCTGGCCGGTGCATCGCAGATGCATCGCCGATGCATCGCCAATGCATCGCCGAGGTATCAGCGTTGCGGCGCTATCCTCCGACCCCATCTACTCCGTCCCCATCTAGGAGGCCTCTGTTAACCTTAGTTCCCCAATCAGTGCTTGCACTGAGGGGGTCCTAGCGGAAAGTGAACGATTTGGCGCAGGTGTCCCGCCGATTTTGGTGGCCGGCTGGGTTCCTGGGTTTTTGGTTTCGGGTTCCCTGGTATCTGGTTATTGGTTCCGGGCCGATTTCGGTGGGTTTGGGGTTCCCGGGTTCCAGGTCGATCTTCATATCGATCAACCCATCCACTGATTGGGGTTCTTCTCTGGTGTAAGAACACTGTGGCGACGCGGCCGGGCTGAAGTCTCCGTCTTTGCGGAAGGGATCGTACATCTTGGCGGTTCGGTTTCATACGCCTGCAGAAACGACCCCCTATTCCTGATGATGTTGGGCCCTCCTACTTTAGGCCTCCTCACGGAAGGTTACTCCAGATTTCGCAATAAAAGGGAAGGGGTCTGGACCCTCCAAGACAAGCCATTTCAGACCCCCCCCGTGGGAGAACCCTCCAAAACATCGTCCCCAGACCCCCCAGGCCCTCCAAGATAGCCTGGAAGAGACCCCCGCCGAAATGAGACACCCCTCCCTTTTATTACGAAATCTGGAGTACTCTTGTTGCCGATCGCTTCTGAGAAGGCGGCGGGGCTTCCCTTCTGAGTCTTCTCGCAGCGGGCGACCTCGCCTCCCTTCCAGCCTCGAGCCCAGCACAGATCGCTGCGGCTCGGCACTTGCTGCGTTCCCGAAGAATCTCGGGCCCAGGACCCTCACAGATCGACCCAGTCGGGAGCCTTGAGACGGGGGTCAATGCAAACGGGGGTCAGCCAGGGCGCCAGATCCTGCAGGATCCTGCGAAGACCCCCTCTGGCTGACCTGGGTTAGCGAGCCGCTCGTGGCCGCGAGGCGGCCGCACGTATTGGCTGACCCGGGTTTGCGAGGATCTGCGTTGCAGTTGTTTTTTTCCTGCATTGCAGTTTTTGGTTTCCTGCTGACCCGGGTCTGGATTGACCCGGGTCAGAAGATCCCCGACCCAGCTCGCAAAGTGGCGCAGCAAGATGGTGGTCCAGGGCTCTGGGCGTGGCTTCTCGCGATGCTGCACTCTTGTCGCTACGTCGGGTCTCAGGGGATGGGCTGCAGGGCTCCGGTCTCAGGGCCTGGCATCGCTCGCACGCGTGCATTTGTTTCGGCGAGAAGCATCGAGGACCATCCTGGACCATCGAGCACAAAAAAACACGCACGAAACAGGAACATGCACGGGAGATGGACGTCCGAGCGACGGCAAGAGGGTGTCAGGAGCCCGAGGAGCTTTCTGTGGCTTCCGAGGAGGCTCGGAGAGCTTCTCCGAAGCCCGGCGGCCGTCTGAGCCTTCTGAGGAGGGCCGCCCCCTCCTGCCGTCCCCTCCTGGGCGCGCAGCCGGCGCCACCCCTCGCCTCCCCACCAGCGCAGGCCTAGAGGTTGACACACAAACACCGAGGTCGGCGGCGCGGCTCCGCCGAGGGACGACGACCCCGATCTCGGAGGCGGATGAGGATGATGATGAGGATGATGATGAGGATGAGGATGATGATGATGATGATGATGATGATGATGATGATGATGATGATGATGATGATGATGATGATGATGATGATGATTATGATTATGATGATGATGAGGATGAGGATGAGGATGAGGATGATGAGGATGAGGATGAGGATGATGATGATGATGAGGATGCTGCTGATGATGGTGATGGTGATGGTGATGATCATGATGATGATACTGGTGATGTTGATGATGAGGAGGAGGAGGAGGAGGAGGAGGAGGGGCAGGAGGAGGAGGAGGAAGAGTCAGGCAGTCCATTCGGAGACAATGCCCAGACGAGTTGGCATGATCAAGGACATGGGGGAGCATATAGAGGAACACTGGTATGAAGAAGCCGTCGCTTCCCAAGAAGGTGAAGAAAGAGGAGAATCGGAGGAGGAGGAGGACGAGGAGGAGGAGGACGAGGGCGAGGAGGAGGAGGAGCAGGAAGGAGGATGAGAACGTGGAAAAACCAGGAGAAAGGGAGGGGCAGGAGGAGGAGGAGGAGGAGGAGGAGGAGGAGGAGGAGGAGGAGGAGGAGGTGGGGAGGAGGTGGGGGAGGAGGTGGGGTAGGGGGGAGAGGGATGGGGTGGGGGATGGGGTGGGGGAGTGGAGGAGGCAAGGGAGGAGGAGCAAGCGGATGATAGGAGGACGAGAAGGAGGGTGAGGAGGAGGAGGGAAAGGAGGAGGAGGAGGAGGAGGAGGAACAGAAGGGGGAGGAGGAGGGGGAGGAGGAATACCCTGGGAATACCCTGAGAAGCACCAATCGTGCTCTGGAGGAGGGGGAGGAGGAGGAGAAGGAGGAGGAGGAGGAGGAGGCGGAGGAGGAGGAGGAGGAGGAAGAGGAGGAGGAGGAGGAGGAGGAGGAGGGGGAGGAGGAGGAGGAGGAGGAAAAAAGCGAACTGAAGAGCCCGACGCCTCTCGAATGCTTCCCAGGGTCTCCGCGGATGTTGCTTGGATGCGTTTTGGAGGCCTCTTGGGCCGTTGAGGGGGGCGTCTTGGCCTGCCCAGAGTAGTGGTTCGGCGTCTTGGGTGTCTCGGGGATCCTCTTGAGGCCTCTCCGGTTAAGTGGGCCTATCCCTCTACAGGGGGTATGTTCAAACATTGTCCAAACATAACATGGGGACTATGTTTTTAGTCGTGTTGGGTATTGCTTGATTTTTGTCTGTCGTCCAAAACTCCCTGTATGGGGGACATGCCCGACCTAACTCTTGGGAATTTTGGGGAGCCTCTTGGAGGCCCCTTGGGCGCCTCTTGGGGCCTTCTGGGCGCCTCTTGGGGCCCTTTTAGATGGGCGCTCTTGGCAGCTGTTGGGGCGCTCTTGGAGCCATCTTTGAAGACATCGGTCAAAACAGAAGGGAGCTTCACTTGGACTCCCCCCCTCGGGAGCCCAAAGCATCGCCTCTTGGGGCGTTCTTGGGGCGCTCGCTCTTGGGGCGCTCGCGGGCGCTCTTGGGGCCGTCTTGGAGACCTCTTTGGCCCATCTTGGAGTCATCTTGGAGCCATCCTGAGGCCTCGGAACGCCATCGGAAGCGAAAAGCGAGATCGCAAAGCTCATTGATGTTCCTGAGATTTTGGAAGGATGGTTTGGCATCCTTGGAGCAGCTTGGGAGCCATCTTGAGGCATCTTGGGCTATCTTGAGCCATCTCGGAGGTCATCTTGGGCTCTCTGAGACGCTCTTGGAGCCGTCTTGGACCATCTTGGACTCTCCAACCCCTCGCGGAGCCCCGCGTCCAAGTCCAGGGGACGGGGAAGGGGGAGGGGTCAACCCCTCCCTGAAGGGGAAGAAGGGGTTGGAAAAGGAGCCTCCCTAGACCACCTACGCCCAGAGGGCTGGCGGTAAGGGGCATCGTGAGGCGCCATGCGCGACGTTAGGCGATCCAGATCCTCGAGTCAGTTTGATCCTCGATCCTCGACCTTCCATCCTCCGTGCTCAATCCGCGATCCTCGAGGCCTAGATCCTCGATCCTCGAGTCCTCGATCTTCGATCCTCGACCCTCGATCCTCGACCCTCGAGTCCCCGACCCTCGGGCCCTCGATCCTCGAGCTCTCTCGATCCTCGAGCCTCGAACCTCGGGCCCCCCGCCCCCGCCGAGACGCCGCAGGCGCCGCGGGCGAGGCCGCCCGGGAGCCCTCCTGCGTGTCCTCGCCCGTCTTCGGCGGCGGCCTCGACGTCGTGCGGCGGGAGGAGGCCCGCCCTGCCGCGCTGCTCGGGCTCCCACCTCGCAGACAACGACGGCGAAATGGAGACGACGACGACGACGGCGACGACGACGGCGACGGCGATGACGACGAAGACGACGACGACGACGACGACGACGACGACGACGAGGATGACGACGACGACGACGAGGAGGACGACCAGGACCACGACGACGACGACGACGACGACGACGACGGGCGTGTTTTCATGTTTTCCCATCTTTTGTGTCCGCGGGCCCTCGGCAGGCTGTGCGGTACGCCCTCGCAGGGTGACTTCCCCCCCCCCAAATCCCGCGACAGTCCGACGACGAAGCGTGACCGGCCGCGGCCGTGGCCGCGGCTGCGTGGACCTGAGCAGGTCAAACAATTGTTCATATCTCCGACCTGAGCATGTCGTCAACCTGCTCGGCGCACGCTCGCGGGAGCTATCTCCCACTCCCCGGGCGACCAGCCCGGGAGCTGGCGGGCCACCATCAGAGCCGGCGGGCAGCGGACACCAACATCCGAAGGGGCGGCTGGTCAGAGGAGGAGGGGGGCCCTGGGATGTACACCCCCCTGGGGGCTCTTCTCAGGAGGGTAAAAAACACAGACACAATTCATCGTCGATTCCCCCGAAAATATGGGAAACTACGGGAATTGGGGGGGAAGACAAAAACCCAGAAAATATAGGAAAATATAGGGAATCCTGCTATTTGTGTGTATGTATTTGTGAGTCCTTGGGCCCCTTCATCTTCGGACGCACCCCTATATCGAGGACGGTCGCCACCCATCGCACATCCCAGCGTTGGGGCCCCAAGCTTCTGGTCCATTCGGAGGCCTCTCAAAGCCTGGGATAGGGATCGACCTTTCCCCTGCTAAGTAGCTCCTCCAGGAAGGTCAGGTGCGAAGCAACTTTTCCCAAGCCTGAGGTCCTGGCGTCGCCATTTCTCCGATCCGGGCGTCATTGAGTAGTTTCGGGCCCCGAGACGCTCACAGATCGATCCATCTCGCAGAATGGCGCAGAAGGTGGCGTCCCGGGATTCGGTCGTGACTTTTTCGTGAACTTGCAATTTTTTCGAGACGTCGGATATCAGGAAACCGTCCTGTGGTGTTGGGACCTCGTTTTGAAGAGGCCGCGCCCCGCGTTCCTCGTTCATTCCTCCCTCCTCCACCTCCCATCCCTGCCTCTGCCCTCCGCGTGACAACCACTTCGGCACACACCCCGACAGGTTCTGTGGCTCCGTAGGGAGTCCCACCGATGGCCCCAACGGCAGTGTCCGCATGGCGTACCCGCCCCCGATTCGGCACGCACTTCACACATCTCGTGGCCCCACATGGAACTCCACCGAAGGCCCCTGCGGTAGCGTCCGCATGCCGTACGGACACCCAGTTCGGAACACTTCTAATGTGGGCAAGCGGTCAACACCAAAAAAGCCCCCCTTTGGGGTGCCCAAAATGAAATAGCGGGGCAGACTAATCGTGGAAATTGATGTTTTAATCGTCTGCTCCCCTCCAGCCTTTTTCTGCCGTCGCGCAGGAACTGATTTTCCATTCGTCCCCTCGTGTTCGCTTGATCACCCGCGGCGGCGGGGGGGATTGCGGAGAGAGGCTGGATTGGCGGTAGGTGCGGGACGGCGTTGCCGAAGAGGTGGAACGCAGCAGACGCATCGCACGCATTGCCACAGGATGAGGAAGAGGAGAAGGAGGAGGAGGAGGAGGAGGAGGAGGAGGATGGGGCGAGACAGCCAGAGATTGTCCGCCTTCCGTCGGTCACGCTCCTTTGGCCCTTTCGTCTCGGAAGTGTCTCACTTTGAACTGTGGATCAGAATTTCTGCTTTCCACGCAGAGCTGACCGCAGATATCCCCGCGGCCTCGAATTGTCCGCTCCTGCTGCTTCGAATTGTGAGCCCGCGGGGTCCTTCCCAGACAGCAAGAGATTGTCCGCCATCCGTCTGTCGGGCTTCTCTGGCATGCCTGGCTGAGGGTTGCTCCCGGGAGGGTTCGACTGAAGGCTTTTGGGCTTGGCAGGAGAGTCGCCGTTGTCTCAGCCATCGCAGGCCCTGCAGCCTTCGGCGCTCCCAGGCGGGGGGGTAATTGGGAACTCAGGGGGGGGGGGGGCGGAACCTAGAAAGCGGCGGAGCTCGTCAAAAGCCCTTCAGCCTTCCGAGAAGCCCCCGTGTGGCTTCGGAGAAGACTCAGCAGGCTCTTCGCATCGGGGACAGGAAACGAGCATGACCGCGTACAGTGTCAATGTGTGCGGTTCCGATAACAAGGCGGGTAGGGTCCGAGAAACCCCGCCGCCGTCTGATAAGGCCACCGCCCTGTGCCTCCCCCCCCCAGGAAACCCGCCCAGTCACTGTGCGCACCGTGTCCTTCTGACGCGAAGTCGACGCGGAAATATGGATTGGACGCGGGGGCGTAATGATGCATTTGGACAGGGAAGGTCATTCGAAGATGGAACAGACGCCCAGAAGGGCACAGACACATGCAGGTTTCTTGTTGTTCCCAGCATGGACTTGTGTCCTGTTTGTTGAGACTTTCATTCGTTCGCCGATCTATCGTTCTGATCCCATCTCGCTTCGGTGTCGTGTCGTTTGCCAACCTGCTTTGCTTCTGCCACGTCCATCAGGGCGCAGTATTCGCGCGGCAGTTGTGTGTATGCGTGCATGCGTGTGTGCTCGTGTTTGTGGTTTGTGTGTTGGTGATAGTATGTAGGCCGATCAGAATGTCCCACGCACGCACGTCTGCTTTCTATGGCTGATCTGGCCTTCGTGTCGGATTTGGTCGGTGACGGTCAAGCCATGCTATTACGCGCAGGGAAGGAGATTGCACACGCACGCACATGTGGGCGAGCTAGCACACGACACACTTGCCTCGAGACAGCCAGTTGGGGGTCGCACGGTTTGCAGGATGAAAGTGCTCTTGATGCGAAGTAGCGAGACAGTTAAATCCGTAATCATTGAATCAATTACGCGCGACAGGACGCAAACAGGCATGTATACATCCGAGTGAGCAGGTCAAATTGCCACCTTGTACGAAAACACATGACACATCACTAGCACAGCTTAGTACATGATAACAGGTCTCACGCGAGCAGCTTGTTGCTGGCTCGAGAGTCGAACACGTCCCAAGAACATATTTGGCGGAAGCGCGCGAGTTCGAGGGCAGGCCGAGAGATGCTTTTGAGGGTCAGCGGGTTTGGCAGCACCTGGCATGAACGTGGAGGTCGTAACTAGGGCATGAGGTTGCTCTTGGGGGGAAGCAGAAGAGAAGGCTGCTCCCAACAATCGCCCGACATCTCCGGCATCCCTCAGAAGCCATGCGGGATGACCAAGAGACCAGATCGCGGTATCCGCATCTGCTCGGTCCGCCTAGGACGGAGTGGCATGTCTGTGTCTGTTGCTTGAGGCGAGCCATGGAGGGGCAAAGCTCGTTATGCGTCCAGGAACTTGCCCCCAGCTAGCACCCGTTCGTCCCGCACCTCAGGCAGGCTCTCGGCAGCCTGGCTGCTTTGGCAGCTAACAGCAGCTAGAGTGAGGGGGCCGAACGGTAATTCATTATCCCCCTGGGTGCGTGGCTGAATAGGGAATTCGTGGTGAGAATTCTGTTTGTTGCGTCGTTGTTGTTGTTGTTGTTGTTGTTGCTGTTGTTGTTGTTGTTGTTGTTGTTGAACATTATTAATTCTAAAGAATAATTATTGTTGGGACCCCTGGTGCGCGCCCCCCCCGCCGCGCCTAGGCCGCAGCCACATTTTCATCATTTCCGCGAGGAAGTCTCAGGCAAAACGGGGTATACCAGATCCGGTTGTGTTGTTACGATCGGTGTTCCCTTGCAAAAAAATAAGGCAAAGTGGACATTTCTTGTTCTAACATGACCAAACTTCAAGAATCCCTTGCAAAAAATGACACGAAGTGCACATTCGCGCGCGCAAGACGAAATCCTTCCAAAACCTTAGTCTTCGTAGCGATTTTCACATAAAAACATGAAAAACCCAATGGTTTTTCAAAAAAAGGGTTTCAAAAATTCACCCCGCGCGCTCTTGCGGATTTCTTAGGAAACCCAATACTTTTTCAACATTTCTGTCAAACGGGCTCTTGCGAGCAACTTTTTCACGTGCTTCGAACTTCTGCAACAAAGGTTGCGCGCCTGCCAGGGCCATCATCCCTGTCAAATAATACCATGTGGGACACATTCGTTTTTTCTTCGCGCGCGCACGCCGAAATCTTCAAAAATCATTGGGTTTCTTAGGAATTTTAGCACCGCGCAACATAAAATCATACGAATCGCACCGTAGGTTCTCGAAAAACATCTGTACGAATTTTCAAAATTTCTACCCGCGCGCGCTGTCCGAATCCTTAAAAACCAATGGTTTTTCAACATTTATGTTATAGAGCTCGCGCGAGCTGTTTTCGCAAGCTCTTTCAACGGCGTTCGCGCGCCTGCCAGGGGCCACAATCCCTTGCAAAAAATATCATGCGGGACACATGCGCGCGTCGTCGCGTCGTCGTTGTCGGCATGGTACCACAACAAGTCAGTGTGTCACCACGTCATCGAACAAAATCACTGATCACTGTCACATCCGTAGCCATCTCGGATCAAGGTATCGCCTGTGTTCTTGGATGGGTCATGGTTTTGTCGACGAAAGCCCTTGACGAGCATGTTACCACAACAAGTCAGTGTGTCACCACGTCATCGAACGTCGGAAAACGGTACAGGTGTCCAGTGTTGGAACAGGGGGAAAAGTCGTATACTAAGCTAGCTTCCACAAAATGTTACCACAACAAGTCACTGTACCCATGCGCCAGTGTAGTAGCCAAGGTCGTCCGCAGGCCACGAAGTGAAGTGTCCGAACGTCATAGGGCGGGAAGCTGGGTGTGGGTGGTGGCGAAGAGTCGTTTGGAAACTTGGTAGAGCTTGAACCGGCCCCCCCACAAAGTGGGGGTATTGCCCGCCTCCTATGAAAACCCTGGCACTGGTGAGAACGGAGTGTCCCCAGTCTTAAATGATTGTTGTTGTTGTTGGTGGTGTTGTTGTTGTTGTTGCTGTTCCACTTTCACTTCTGAAGAATAATTTTCGTTGATCCCCCCGTCCGGTGCACCTCGTTTTTTTTCGATTGAAGTGCCCTTCCCGGGGCTCGCACCCCGTTTTTAATCATGGAAAGTCTTGAGGGTCAAACTGTGTCGTTGGCACCCGGTTTACAACAACAGCGGCTCCCGCCTGAGACTTCCTCACAATTTAGCCAGGACCCCCGCTCCCGCCCGAGACTTCCTCGCGCTTTTTATTCAGGAGTCGTGCTCTCGCTTAGGACATCCTTAGAATTTATTCTCCCGGCGCACTGGAGTCGCGCTCTCGCTGGAGACTTGCTTGCAATTTCCAGAAAAAATACCGCCCTTTCGTTGAAATGTCATGCATTTTACTCAAAAGCCGCGCTCTCGACACAGGCACCCAGGAGTCGCGCTCACGCTTATGACTCCCTCACATAGGAATGTGGATCTCGCTGCCCTTCGTGGCCCCGTTGCAGCCCTTCGGGGCCCCCTCGCTGCCCTTTGTGGCCCCGTTGCAGCCCCTCGTGGCCTCCTCGCTGCCCTTCGTGGCCCCGTTGCAGTCCTTCGTGGCCCCCTCGCTTTGTTTCGTGGCCCCGTTGCAGCCCTTCGTGGCCCCCTCGCTGCCCTTCGTGGCCCCGTCGCAGCCCTTCGTGGTCCCGTTGCAGCCCTTCGTGGTCCCCTCGCTGCCCTCCGTGGCCCCGTTGCATCCCTTCGTGGCCTCCTCGCTGCCCTTCGTGGTCCCATATATGTATGCCCTTCGTGGCCCCCGCTCGTTCGCGCCCGTGGTGGCCCCATCTGCATCTGTCCCTCGTGGCCCAGTTGCTACCCTCAGTGGCCCCATCGTTGCCTTCCCCGCATTATCTGCCCTTCGTGGCCTTCGCTCGTTCGCGCTCTTCGTGGCCCCATACGCATTCCCTTCGTGTCCCCGCTGTTGCCCTTCGTGGCCTACTTCGTGTCCTTGTGGCCCTGCTGCCGTACTCTTTCGCTCTCGCTTTCGCTCGTCGTCGCCGTCGTCGTCGTCGTCGCCATCGTCGTCGACGTCGTCGTCGTCGTCGTGGTCGGTCCCCTGTCCGTCCCTCTTGGGGTCGGGTCGACGGTCCGCGGCCGCCCCGCCGATCAGCGCTGCCGCTGGCCAGGCCGACGGTCCGCGGCAGCCCCGCCGCTTGCAGGGGCCCGGCCTGCCGGGAAGGAAGGTATACCCCCCAAAAGGTGTTTGATCGAAGACGAAGAGGGCTGGTATCGAGGGTTTGGGAAGTAGGCGCTATGGGACACTCGAGCAGATAAGGGCGAACAGTTTTAAAATGATTGTTGTTGTGGTTGGTGTACTTGTTGTTGATGTTGTTATTGTTGGTGTTGTTGTTTGTTGTTGTCGTCCCACCCGCGACCCACCCGCGACGTACCCCGCGACCCACACCGCGACCCACCCCGCGACCCACCCTGCGACCCACCCCGCGACCCAACCCGCGACCCACCCGTGGTGTCCTAGTGTCGTGTTGAGAACCCTTGCGTGTAACACCACAGTACGACACTACACTAAGGTTACTGCGGTGTCATCGTAGAGTGTTGGGGACACCGGGGAGCGACACTACAATAAGACACTACACTACGGCTGAGGAGTGGGCCTGAGTTGTTTTTGCCTGCTGTTCCGTAGGGCTTTTGATTGGTTTTGCTCCGCGAGAGAGAGGACTCCACGCTACTGTTGCTGTGGTAGTACAGTGTTGGGGGCACCGGGGTGCGACACTACACTATGACACTACACTACGGAGCTGAGTTGTTTCTGTCTGCTGTTCCGTAAGGTTGTCGAATGTCTCCGCTCCGCCAGAGCGGGGTTCTACGTTACGGTTAATGCGGTGTCATCGTATAGTGTTTGGGACACCAGGGTGCGACACTACACTACGGCTGAGGAGAAGGGCTGAGTTATTTTGCCTGCTGTTCCGTAGGGTTTTTGATTGGCTCCGTTCCGCGAGAGAGGACTCTACGCTACTGTTGCTGTGGTGTCATAGTATAGTGTTGGGGGCACCTGGGTGCGACACTACACTACGGCTGAGGAGAGGGCCTGAGATGTTTTGCCTGCTGTTCCGTAGGGTTTTTGATTGGCTCCGCTCCGCGAGAGAGGGCTCTGCGCTATTGTTGCTGCGGTGTTATGGTATAGTGTTGGGGACAGGGGTGCGACACTACACTGTGACACTACCCTACGGCTGAACAAAGGGGCTGAGTTTTTTGTCTGTCTGCTGTTCCGTTGGGTTTTTGACTGCTGTTCCGCCTTCCCGCGGCGGAGGGGAGGAGGCTTCCTCTCTCCTCTCTCCTCCATCCCTCCTTTCTCCCTTCTGTCTTCGCTCCTTACAGCTACCTAGCTGTACTCCCGCCACGTCCTCCCGAGTCCTCCCACCCCCACCGTAGCTAACCAACTATAGAAACTTCCGTCTCCCCTCCTCAGCCGCAGTGTAGTGTCATAGCGTAGTGTCGCACCCCGGCGCCTCCAACACTACATTATGACACCACACTATCCGCAGCGGAGAGACCTCTCTCGCGAAGTCGAGGTAAGCAAAGCCTAAGGAAGACCAAACAGAAACAACAACGTCGTCCGTCTCTCCTTCCTGAGCCGTAGTACAGTGGCATAGTGTAGTGTCACACCTGGTATCCGCTGACACTACACTATGACACCAGAGTAAACCTGAATGTACTGTCATAGTGTAGTGTCACTGTCGCGTGGATGACACCACACTAGTGAAGATAGTGTGTAGTGTCGTAGTGTAGTATCAAACTACACGGTTAAGATCTACTCTCCACCACGCGACCCACCCGCGACCCGCCCCGCGACCCATCCGCGACCCATCCGCGACCCACTCGCGACCCACCCCGCGACCCACCGGCGACCCACCCCGCGATCCACCGTCAAGGGAGGAAAAAACATTCGCACCCGATAGTTGACGTTTACTAAACGGCCTTGGGCGTTTATTGAACAGCCCTGCCCTGTTCGATTCATTCCTTGTGTGCGTTTACTAAACGGCTTCGCTTGTCGGGGTGATTCTTATGGGGTGGATTTTCTGTCCTCGACACCCGCGACCCACCCGCGACCCAACAACGACGACAACGACCCACCCGCGACCCAACAACGACCCACCCGCGACCCACCTGCGAGCAGCGGGCTCATTGTATAATTTGTTGAAGAAGCTTTGGCGCCTGCGGCGGGCTTCTCCAGAGTCTCGCAAACTGCCGACGTCCCCACCGCCCCCTCACTCTGATCCGCATCTGCGGGGTGCTACGTACTCCTTAGTTGACAGTCCCACTGATTGCGATTTATGTGTTGCCCAATTCCACCCACCAGGCACTCGACCCAAGATGATATTCTGATGAAGGCGCCTGGCAGTAGCCCACGGTCTTGTTTTGACCCCGTTCGCGCGCAGGTGATTTGTGCCCCAGTTTGCGACTCCATCCAAAATCATCGAGGAAGGCAACCCCACCTTTACCCCACTACTTGCGTTTACTCAACAGTCCTGGGCGTTTACTGAGCGGACCTACCCCGTTCGATTCCTTCCTCGGGCTCGTTTCCTAAAAGGCTTCGCTTGTATGGGGAGCTTCTCGTGAGGGTCATGCTGCTGCTTTCTGAACGGTTGGCCTGTGAAAACTTCGCTCATTGCACGTTATCCAACTCCTTATTGCACGTTATCCAACTCCTTGGGGATAAGGTGCGCCAAAGAAGCCCTCCCTGGCAGGGGGATGGCGTGCACGAAAGGGGTCCTCGCGGGCGGACCGCCTCAAAAGGGGTCCTTGACAAGGGGATGGCGTGCACGAAAGGGGGATGGCGTGCACGAAAGGGGTCCTCTTCGGAGAGCGGTGCGGCACGCCATCTTTCCAGCGCCAATCGCATCAGCCGGGGATGAGTACACGCGGATTCGAGGATTCGCACGTGGAACTGCACGAAGTCACGAAATCAAAGAACAATCAACGAAGGCAGCGAAATCCACGAAGCCACGCAACAGCTGGGGATGAGCACACGAGCCGGTTCGCAGCCACGGCCCGCAGACCACCGAGATCCGTGCGGTGCTGTGCCACCCGCTCCACTACGCCTCGGCGGTGGCGGTCGCCACGCTGACGGGGAGCCTCGGGCGCCGGGGTTGCTGGAGGGAGGGAGCGGCAGCAGAGGGGGGCCTCCGGAGGGAAAAACACACGCAGGCACAATGAATCGTCGAATCCCAGGAAGATATGCGAAAAATTTTGGAGTGGGGGGGGAAGACAGAACATGTGTGAAGATATGGGGGATTTGGGGATTTGTGTGTGTACGTCTATTTGTTTGTGTGTCTGTGGGCCCCTTCACTGCCGCTGGCAGAGCGGCACGAGGGCATGGCAACGAGACTCGTCGGCGCCCACGAGGGGGTGGCGCGAGGGGGGTGGCTCGCTAAGGAGCAGATCGCAAACATGGATCAAGGGGGCGTGGATTAGCGTTATTCTGGCCGGACGAAAGGGGGGGGGGTGGGAAAGAGGTGGTTACGAAAATTGCTGGTTTCGACCCCACCGAAGGGCCCATTCCTCGATACATGGTCGTCTTTGGCGCCGGGAGGCGCCGGGAAAATCAGCTACGTGAGCTGATTCTCCCCCCCCCCCTTTGCTATCCCCCCCTTTCGCCCGACCCGAGTTACGTCGGGCGTGTCCCTCCACAGGAGGAACATTCAAAAACAGTCAGAACATAGTTTGGGGACGATTTTGGGATTAGTTTTGAGTATGTGATGGGCATTTGTTGGCCATTTAGATGTTTCGTCCAAAATGCCTCTGTAGGGGGACAGGCCCGACCTAAGATTAGCGACGGGGCCCGCTTCCATGGGAGATCGCGGATTTCCGCCGCCGAGCGAGGCGGCTCTGGCCGCATTTCGGGGAGGGCGCCTCCCCCCGATCCATGGCCTTGGCGGCCGCGCGCCAACAAATCCACGGATCGCTAATCCGTGCTTGCGCGCCCGCGGCACGAGGGGTCGGCGGGAGAGGGGTGGCTTTCTGAGCAGTCGGGGGGGGTTCTCAGAGGGCGGGGGCCGTCTCAAAAAAGGCCCCCTAGGCTTCTTTTGCCAAGCTCCTTGAGGAGCTGGGCGGGCTGCCAAGACGCCCCCCTTGGCCTTCTCACAAGGCGTGCTGCCTCCTTCGGAGCCCACCCTCCTCGCGCTGAAAGTCCTAGGCCTGTTCGGACGGAATCGTTTGTCCTCGCACGAGGGTTCAGTTCAGATGAGGAGCTTGGATGAGGAGGGTGGGAAGAGGGAGGAGTGAGGGAGAGCTTGACGGAGTCATGGGTTTATCTCGGCATTGCTTGCCGACGCGATTGCCTGTGGGCTGCCTTCGAGCTGCCGCGAATTGATGCGGATTGCCTTGGTCGCTGCGAGTTGCTGCGAAGCGTGGCCGTGGCCAGGATTCCCCTCCCGCCCTATCCCGCACTGCATCGGCATGGGCGATGCGGTGCGATCTTCCGACCCCGTCAGCTCGGACCCCGTGTGGGAGGCCGTCCAACTCGTCCTGTTCCTCCTGCCCCTCCTCCCTTCGTCTCGGAGGACTTCGACTGACTCACCACCCACCAAACCACCCCAACCCAACCCGAAGGCTCAGATTTACCCTCGATTTCCAGTGGGGGGGGTGTCGGGAAACATCGAAAAAACACGTGTGGAGCCCTTACCCCCCCCAACCCGGAATTCGGGTCTTCGGGTTGGGTTGGGGTGGTCTGGTGGGTAGTCACTGACTACCCCGACGATCCCGGCCAGACTTGTCCTGGGCCCGGAGAAGATCGGGGGCGGAAAAGACGGGGGTGGTGACTAGGGGGGGGGTGGATATCATGTCGGGGCCATGATAGTTCCCCAGATCTCATGGCGCCTCTTCTTGTCTCATTACGTCCCTGGCCCCCAACCTGGGCCGCGCACATGCCGCTGGCCATGATGTGCACCCCCCCTCTTGGTCTTGGACACCCCCCCCTTGGCCGCTCCCGAGGAGAAGAGAAGAGAGCCCGGATGCGGGCGCCCGGATCGGCGACGGGTCCCGCTGCCGTGCGTAAACGACGCGCGCTCCGCCGCCAAGCGCGCTGGGTTTCTGGCCGCGTGTTCCGCGGGGGTGGTTTTTTCCGCGTCGTGGATCTGGCGCCCGCGTGCGAGATCCGCGGATCCTCCCTTCTCGGGCCGGACGAAAGGGGTGGGGCTTGGGAAAGGGGGGGGTACGAAATCTGCTGCAGGCAGCTGATTTCGGCCATACCGAGGGGCCCATTCCTCGATACATGGCCGCTTCCGGCGCCGGGAGGCGCCGGGAAAATCAGCTACGTGAGCTGATTCTCAGCCCCCCCCTTTGCTATCCCCCCCTTTCGCCCGGCCCGAACTTTGTGCTCTCGCGTGCCCGCGTGCCTGGCACGTGCCTCCTTCCCCCTGCCGGGCCAGGAGGGCGTCTGTGCGCGAAGGAGCCTTGGGTCCAGGGGCTGTCCGGCGCCGGGCTCGGCGGTGTGGGCAGCCGACGCCCTCTCCGACCCAGCGGGTTGTGGCTGGTCGTGGCCTCGCAGGTGCCCCTGGTCATTCAGGAGGGGACAAAAACACAGACACAATTAATCGTCGATCCTCCAGAAAATATAGGAAAATATGGGAAGTGGGGGGGAAGACAAAAACCCAGAAAATATGGACAAATATTTTGAATCCTTTTATTTGTGTGTGTATTTATTTGTGTGTCCCAGGGCCCCTTCAGTCATCTGCCGCGGCCCCCGCTGGCGGGGCTTGCCGCGCCAGCTCACCCAGTCAGTATCCTTTAAACGATCCCCATTTCCATCTCCATCCCCTTCGAGACATCCCCATCTAGGGGGGGGCAAATCGGCCAGTGGGGCCCAGGCCACGCCGCTGGGGATGGGGATCGGTCAAACGATACTCAGTCAGGTGAGAGCGCTTCCGCCTCTGAGTGGCCTTTTCCTCCCCCCCCACCCCTCACGGCCGCCCGCTCTGTCCCCCTCTCCCCCCTCCCTGCATGCTGGCACAGTTCGGTTCGCTTCTCGGTGCCCCCATGTCTAGCTTCAGCGCCGGCGCAGCCAACACCTGCCCCGCCGCCGACGTCACAAGTGCCTCTGGTCATACTCGTCGTCTTCCTCTCCATGCCGTCTTCCACGCGAGGAAGGAGTAAGCGGCATATGACCACACGATTCTTCGGAGGCCCGAGCGGGCTGCTTGCATCGGCGCCGGATGCCCTGGCGTGCAGAGCTGACCCAGGAAATCCGCCATGGGAGTCCATGGGGCGATCCGAGCAATCCGCGCGGAGCTCCGACAGCGTGTGGTTATGCCGTTTTTTCTTTCTCGATTCTCGCCGATGAAGTTTCTGGCGCCTCTTCGCACTCCTCGCTTCCCGTCGCGCCCTTCGCGTCCCCCCCCCCGCAGGAACGACCACATGGCCCCGCCAGAGTGCCTGAAGACGGGCCTTGTCTCGGAGTCCACGGACGACCCTCCGCTGGCCGCATTTCCAGAGGAACTTGGCATCGCTCGGACGTGTGCATTCTTCCTTCGGCGAGGACCATCGAGGAGCATCCTTCACCATTTCGCGAAGAAACCACGCACGAAACCGATTAAGAAAAACACAGGACATGGACGTCCGAGCGATGGCCAGAGGAAGAGAAGCCTGTATGGACACAAGCTGTCGGAGCTCCGCGCAGAGCGTTCGGACGGACGCTGGGCCCCTGCCTGGCGCGCGCTCCGAGCGCGCCGTGAAGGAGGGGGCCAGCGCCGAGCCGAGAAATCCGCGCGGGCCTCCGACAGGATACAGTCGGGGCGCTGAAGAAGGAACCCTTCTCATTGGGGAGGGGCTCTGTGTTCCTTAACTGTTTCGCAGCTTGCCTCAGGTTTTCCCTTAGGTTTTCCATTTGGAATCGAAGTTGAACTTATGACGGAAAATGGGGGCCTCGCTCCTTATTTAGGGTTCCTTAGGTCAACGCCCCGACTGTACGCCGATGCTGCTTTTCCACGGGAAGAGAAAGCACCCCGACCTCGACAATTGTTGTTCACTGAAGGGCCCTGGGCGTTTGCCAACCAGCCCAAGGCCCTGTTCGATGCCTTCGTGGGTGCGTCTACTAAACGGCCTCGCTCGTCGGGGTGCTTACAAGGAGGGTGGGCTTCCTGCTCTCGATGTGTCGTGTTCTTGCCATGAGGGTGGATTTCCTGCTCCCGGCGTTCCTATTCCTGCCGGCGCATCCCGCTCCGCGACTCGCCTCCCGCCTCCTCGGCTGGGGGCGCGTGCGCGCGCGCGCGGAGAGCCTGGCTCGGGGAGCGCGCCCTGGCGAGATCCGCAGGGGCGCCCTCGGGGGCGCGAAGTGCCTCGCGCTCTTCGCGCTCTTCGCGCCTCGGCTCCGACGATGCCTCGCCCGCCTCGATGATGCGCAGTCGCGCTGTTTCAACCTCTGCTGATCCCTGGCTGCTGGCGGGCCCCTTTCCAAAGCAGCTGCGGCACAGAGTCGGCGTGCGGGTTGCGACTCCCTACTGCTATTGATGCTGCTTCTCCCCTGGGGGGGCGGCGCGAGAGCGCGAAGTGCTGCGCGCTCTCGCGCATCGCGACGCGGGAAGCTAGGCGCCCTTGGATCCACTGGCCGCCCTGAACGGCAGAGGTCGGGGGCAACGATAGGGGGCGTAGGCATGGGGGGGGGGATGCATCGACCCCCAATCGCCCATTGATCGCCGATAGGGGCCCGATAGCCCAAACCTGCCCAGGAAGGTTCGGATTCACGATCTATCGGAGGCCTATCGCCGATCTGTCGGCGCTGTATCGCCGATTCCAGATCGATGTTTCCCCCCATGCCAGTCCCCCCTATCGTTGCCCCTCACAGGAGGGGGCGGCCTCGTCTGGCAAGAGAAGGCGGGGAAGCAAGCCCTGTTGCGGCTGCCGTCAGACGTGCCTTGGTCCCCCTTTTCCGCCTCTGCCCGTGGCGGCAGAACTGCGACGGTCGTGTCGGTTGCCATTGTCAGCCCTTGGGGGCCCTCGCCGGGCCCCAGGACCGTCGAAACCGGCTTTCTTCGAAGAGCCGGTCCACAGGGGAAGGGGTCTGATTCTTTGGGGGGTCCCCGTTGCGACAAGACACAGCGTCGGTAATTTTGCCCAGACCATGCCATGGCACAGTCAAAATTCATGGTAAGGACGCTCTGCTGCATCAAGGCTGCCCTTGCATCCCTGCTACCTCGACCTATCCTGAGCAAATGTTGGCTTCCAAGGAGCTCTGGATGGCGACTGGGACGTCCAATGGTCTTGCATTCTCACCTTGCATCCTCACTCTGGATTTGGGCTGCACCTGGACCATCCAGAACGTCGCGCGGCATCCGTAGAGCGCACTGACCGTGGATAGGTACTTATATATATATATATATATACCTACATACAGAGAGAGAGAGAGAGAGAAAAACAAAGAGAGAGAGAGAGAGAGAGAGAGAGAGCGAGAGAACGAGGGACACGGGCGCCCTTCTCGGCGCGAAGCTATTCGCTCTTCGCGCTTCGGCTCCGACACCTCCGCATGCTCCTCTTCGCCCCTGGGGGGCGGCGCGAGAGCGCCACGTTGATCGCGCGCTGCGCAGCAAGAAGAGCGAGTTCGGCGCCCTTAAAGATAGAGAGCAAGAGAGAGAGAGAGAGAAAAACAAAAAAACAATGATCCGTCGCTGCGGCAGCGCCGCGGCGCGGCATGGCGAGAGGGCACGGTCCGAGTGTGCCAGGGTCTGAGCCCCGCTTCCTCCCCCCTCTGCACGGGCAGCCCATGGGCAAGTTCGCTGGTCACGGGTTGCTTGTGGTGCCATTGTGTCGGAGCCCCGCGCTTCGTTCATTGCATGAGTTTGCTCGCAGTCCACCCGCATAGTAAGGATGATCGTCTTTCCCAAGGCTACCCTCGCGTCCTTCCCCTGCGGCCCATCCTCGGCCACTTTCGTTGGCCGCGCCCCGCTCGAAAAGTGCCCGCATGGCCTTCCACGGCCCTTGCATCCTTATCGTGCGTTCTACTGGTTGAGTGTAGCTTGTGGCGCCATTTTGCTGGTTCCCCGCTTGCCTCTCCCAGGGCATGGTTCACGGCATGAGTTTGGCTCTGCTTGGCGGCTCTCTGCTTGGTGTCGAACCTTGGTGGTCACGTTCCTTCCTCCTCCCTTCATCGTCTCCCTCCACCCCCTCCTCGTCCAAACCAACAGAGATGGCAGAGATGGCCTCCCTCTTTCGGGGGAGCGCAAGACTCGAGTTCGCCGGTCCTCGGGTCTGGCTGCGGTTTTTGGCGGGCCCGTCCTGCGTCTTGGCGGTCCAGGGTACGTGGAATGTTTGCAGCGGGCGCTTGGGTCAAATTGTTGACGCTGTGCGTATCCCCACCAACCTCCCGGCGATCGGGCCTCTGGCCGCCGCCTTTCTGCCTTTTTTGGCGTTTCCTGGCGATCGGGCCTCTGGCCTTTCCCCGCCTCGTCGCTGGGTCTGGGCTTCCCACTGCATCCCACCGCCCCTCCGCACCACTTGGTGTTTGGCGATCCAGATTTACCGTTGAACGCCGGCACGTCCGGCCCTTCCTCGTGTCCAGGGTCGCCGTCACGCGGTGGTTCCTGGCTTTGTCCGCGGCGCGCTGTTCGACACAACGGTCCTCCGCATTGGACCGTGGGTTTCTCGAATTACTTCCTGGTGTTGCACGACGCCCCGAAGTTCCTCCTGGTGCCCGCGCTCTTCTGAGCGGCAGTGAGGTTCGCTTGCTCGTCTCTCCTGCTCGTTCTTGTTATTTGCTCTTTGCTTTCTTGTTCCGCTGCGCTAATTTTGGTCGCTGCTTGTGTGCAATGTCCTTGGCGCCGCCCGACTCTGCTTCGTCGCGGTCGCGATCAAAGAAATATCCCCACCAGCCCATGCAGGAACGATGCCCAGGGGAGTTGGAGTGATAAGGGAAATGGGGGGAGATGCAGAATAACGACATGCGGGGGAAGCCGTCATATACCCCAACAGAAGCAACATGGAGGAGGAATCGTCGTCGTTGCGTGAGGGGCTAGAGGAGGAGGAGGGGGAGGAGGAGGAGGAGGAGGGCGAGGACGAGGACGAGGAGGACGAGGACGAGGAGGAGGAGGAGGGGGAGGAGGAGGATAATGAGGAGGAGGAGGAGGAGGAGGAGGAAGACGAGGAGGAGGAGGTGGAGGAGGACATGGAGTAGGGCGAGGAGGACGACGAGAGGGAACAGGAAGAGGAGGAGGAGGAGGAGGAGGAGGAGGAGGATCAGCAGGAGGAGGAGGAGGAGGAGGATAATGAGGAGGAGGCGGAGGAGGAGGAGGAGGAGGCGGAGGAGGAGGAAGAGGACATGGAGTAGGGCGAGGACGAAGACGACGAGAGGGAAAAGGAGCAGGAGCAGCAAGAGGAGGAAGAGGATCATGAGGAGGAGGAGGAGGGATAGCGGTAGGAGGAAGGAAAAAGGAGGAACATGTGGGTGAGAAAGGGGAGGAGGACGGCGAACAGAAGAGCCAGAAGCTTTCTCAAATGCCTCTCGGACTCTCCCTGGATGTGTCTTGGCAGTTGTTGGAGGCCTCTTGAAACGTCTTGGGGGCATCTCGGTGGGCCCAGTGCCCTCTTTGAGCGTCTTGGGTGTCCCGGGGGATCCTCTTCAGACTTCCCGGGGTCTCGTGGGAGCATCTTGGAGGCCTTTTGGGCGCCTCTTGGGGCCGTACTGGGTGCCTCTTGGAGCCCTCTTGGGGCGCCCTTTGGAGCTTGAGGGGCGTTTTTGGGGCCATTTTGAAGGACATCGATCAATACACATAGGAGCTTCAATTCGCCTCCCCCCTTGAAAGCCCCAAACATCGCCCCTTGAGGCGCCCAAGGGGCGCTCTTGGAGCGCTCTTTGAAGCTCTTTGGGCAGCCTTGGGGCTCGATTGCGCCTCTCTTGGGGCTCTTTTGGGTTTCTCTTGGGGCTATCTTGAGGCTTTGCATGGCCATCGGACGCGAAACGGCGAGAAAGCAACATACGGATTGTGGACGGATCTGGGACGGAAGCGGTTTTGGACTGATGTTGGCTTTTTCGGGGCCTCTTCGGGGAACGCTGTGGCCACTTGGAGTCGTCTTGGAGCGGTCCGTGGGTCTCTTGGAGCATCTTGGAAGCCATCTTGAGCGATCTTGCGCTTGTTTGAGCAGTCTGTGAGGCCGTCTTGGGCTCCCTGATGCCGTCTCGGAGCCGCTTTGGGCGAACAGGTTCCCCCTTCTGAGACCTCGCGACCGCCCCCGTCCAGGTTCGGGGGAGGGCGTAGGGGGAAGGATCAAGCTACCCACCCACCCGCAAGCCGTCTAGCTCACTCCCACCACCCTCCCAACACAGAAAACAACACCCGAACATGAGCATGTTCAGCGGTCGTCTTTGGATGGGCAGCTATTGGGAACCAAAACGGACCCCATGTGCGCGACGTCGGGGCGAGTCTCGCCACGCGTGTCAGGCGCGCCGCG